TCTATTTTCTAGATTCTTTGCAGACAGGCAAGAAACCTGTTGAACTGAATTTGAGGCCTTTTGTTTTCTGTAAAATGCTTTTTACTGAAAAGCAAGTAACTTTAGCATCTCCCATTTAAGCTCACACTCCAGCAGTTCACAGGCATTTGAAGGTGTACACTCTACTCTAGCAGCATCGATTGGAAATCAAAGATAAAAATTTCTGCAGAACATTCTACAAGTCACAACTTTGATACAGATTGCACAAGACAACCAATCCACCCTAACTCAAGGTTTTTTTTGGTGTTTTGTTGGTTGGTTGGTCTATTTATCTTATCAAAGCAAATTTATTTTCAAAATCCAAGGTGTTATTTCAAGATACTCTTACGAGCCAGTGACACAAGACTAAGGTGTAGAAGAAAGACTACTCCACGCCTCAGTGCCAAGGCAAATATTTAAAGCAAAAATAATTAAAAAAAAAAATCTTTCTTCAAAAGCCTGTACACAATACTAATTTCTCAAATAAGACTCAAGTTTTTGTTTTGAAAGGCACATTGAATTAATTGTTATACTACTGATCAGTGTGACACAAGACAATGTTTTCAAAAACAACTAGCCATTTTCAGAGCCATATGCTTCGACAGTCCAATATTTAAGGCCTCAACTGCGAAGTTTCCATTGACTTGCCCTCATCCCTCTTTTCAGGGGTGAAAGTTGTTGCACTCAGGTGATTCTTAAAAGAGAGGATGGAATGGAAGTGAGTCATAATTTAACAGTAAAACAGACAGGTTAACAAACAGCAGAAGAAATAGCTTCTAAAGGCAGGCAAGCAATCTATGTCCAATTCAGCTGACCACTTAACACTTCGCTAACATCAGCTGCTATCTAGCAAGGTGCTCAGGAAGAGGCATCGCTACGGCAGACAATACTTTAAGGGGCAATTCACGTTAGAAATGAAACAGGTTGGACAGCTAATGCCACAAGTCACCCTTCAAAACTTTGGCAACATTGACTTTTGAGTTTACTTAAAAAGCAGGAAAATGAAGATGGATGAGAACAATGTTTTTGTCACAAGAGACTAAATGATTTACGTTACGATTTTCATTACAATAGCACCTAGTCAAGGAATGGAGGAAAAAAAAATCAAGCAGACCTACCTGATTAGAAGTAAATAGGTCCGTTTTCAAAAGGACTACTGCTTTAGAGTCTCTGTGATGCTCCCTGTTCAAAGTATTAGGGCAGCTTCTTAACTAATAAAAATTAGTACAACACTACCACCTTAAATGAGTTATGACAACATAGACACACTGAGGAGCTCGTCCTTTTCTTCCAGCGTTTATTTACATGTCTAAGATACTGCCTGCCAGAATACACACATTTTTACAATATCTCAGAAAAGTGGAAAATATATGCTTGAGGTATGATTTGTTTTATATGACACAATATTAGTAAGTAATATCTGAAGGCTGCCTTTGTGTTTAGGAACAGGATGTGCTATAAACCTTTAAAAATGCAGATTAAAAAAAGTACACAGAAATGTTTTGACAGGTGTGTACACACAACTGAATTCTTTCTTCACAGGATGCTGTTTCAGATACAAGGATTTTAAATAATTATACATATATGAATTCTGGGGATGGATGAATGCATAATGAATAGATGAATGAGTCAATGAGTGATCACCTCTAGCGTAAGTTTGAACCCACTAAAATGAATAATGAATAAAGAGGAAAATGCAGTCTGACAACTCAAGTTCACTTATAAAGAGACACAGGAATGTAGATCTTAATTGTGCTCAATTCAAAGGCAAAAGAGATGACATCGATGACAGAAACTCTTATGCTTTTGACAACCACTTCAAATAACAGGAGGTTTATCTGATGTGTTCAGTATATATTCCATGAATTTATGGTACAAACTACAAAACTAGATAGTACTTGCGTATTACTAAGTACAAAGCCATACATTAAGCACACCAACATACATGGGGAACGATGTTTAGCTTTATCATTGAGCATCTACTCAGTGATGCATAGTAAACTAACTGCTCTTAACCAAACAAAATGTTGCTTTACTCAGCTGATACTACTATCTACCCATAGCCACCTGAGTTTCTTTCTGCCTCTTGTTAGCTCTGAAATCGCAGCTCTGCAAACAGATTTTACATATTTGTGAAAAATCAAAGCTTGGAAGGAGACCTGACTTCAGTGTGACTATAGAAGGTGACTTCAGTAGAACCTGGATCACATATTCATTACAAACTAAATCATAAACTAGCCATAAACTAATATCTCCTGGCCATTCTTGAAGCCTTTTATCATACCAAACAGAAGACTCTAAAATACTGCTTGACATTGTACTATGTTACACAATATTACTGGAGTGTCAAACTACTTTGATTATGACGAATCAGGTCCCATCGGTCTGAACATTTGCTGCTGATTCCACCTGAAACACCCGAACTACACAAAAAATTGCCAATGCTGTAAATGTGCTATGATTAGCCCATTGATTGAAAACACTGACTTCTAAATTCCGTATTTAGTTCACATTAATTGCTAACTAGTGTTGTCTTGGTCCTAAATACTACAAATAAAGGGAATAATTTGAAAGTGTACTTGATTACCTGCAACCCCAAAGACATTTCTTATGCAAGTCTTATTGGGTTTTTTAAGCCCAGCAGGGAAAACAGACTAAAGAACACCAGTATTTTTACCACTGTATTTCTTCTGAGGTAGATAACTGCTATTTCAGAAAGGAACAGCTACTTCTTCATGCAAAAGACAGCTCAAACCAGCTATGAAACACAGAAGTAGTAGATACAGTCTGCTTTTGAAGATTTTCACAGCAAGGTCAATGATACTCTGAGGTGCTCCAAGACCAGGCTTCAAACTTCTTGCTGTGCCCTGCCAGCTCTCTACCTCCTGCCTATGAGTTGTTCTTCTCTGTCATGCCTGGTTTACAGTATTAGAAAATACATCGTGCTGCTGCCTTCATAAGCATTAGCCGGAAACCATTTTACAGTCATCCTGCAGCAAGGCAGAACCCACAACACCATGTGAAGTCTGCAGCGCAGCAGCAGCGGAGGCAGCAGAAATGCAGCAGAGCCGAATTGCTCCACTGCTCTTTCTCCTCGCTTTGAATTGGCTGTGCAGCTTCAGATGGTTAATTCTGAGTGAGATGATGAAAGTGTTCACAGTAATACAAATTTAGAAGTGTAAGATTCTAAATGAGGAACAAGGCAACAGATTGCAACAGGCAAAAGAAAGAAACTCTATTTCTGTGATCAACGTATGGTTTATTGCAATAATTCTGTCTCCTAACGATAATGTGAGAACTAACAATTTTTCTTAACAATAGTTTAACTTTCTTATTGGGAAAAGCCCAAAGCATTTGGCTTTTTAGAACTAATGTGCAGCCATACAATTAGAACAACAACAGGTATGCCAGATGGTGCATATGAAACTGAAACAACAAGGCTTAGACAAACTAGCTTTTCAATTTTAAAACACGATTCTAACAAAAACATAAGGCAATATTCACACCAACCAAGTATTTGGTACTTTTTGTAACACAAGAGCTGAGCCCACACTCTATTGTAGTTTCAAGTAACAGTACCAAAAAAAAAAAACCCCACCCAAAATTTGGAAGTCAGGGCATTAGGTATTGAAGCCAAAAGTATAAACGCCTCCAGTGAAGAATTAGGGGTATTCTTGGGTAAGAGTTATTAAATTATTAAAGAGCACCAGAACACACTTTCCCTCTTGTTGCATTCTTGTCCATGCACCTGCTCTCACTTGCAAAGTCTGGGTGCCTAACTAGATAAACCCATGTTTTTACCATCTGTAACCAATCATTTGTGAAACTGTTTTTCATCTACCAATTTCAACTACCAATTGCACTTGTTTGTTCTGTATAGTTCTTTCAGCTGTGCACCACCTATGTCTAACACAGTTACCATTGTAATGCTCCTCTGACATACAAAAGTGGTATTACCCGTATTTTACAAGTGGAAAGAGAAGGCAAGAAAGCTTAAAGAACATGAACAAGAACTCATGGAACATCTGCTGGCAGAGAAGGAAAAAGCCTCCAAAATCCCACATTGGCATTGGCCCCACTCATTCCTTCAGGATTAACTTTAGATCTAAGAACCCACTTCTGGGCTTTCAGTAGCATTAGGAGAGGTCCAAGAAGTAAATCTTGCTCAGCTGAAGTATGCAGTGAAGCACCTTACATGTTTTGAAAGTGTTACTAAGAAAACCACAGGATGTAGGGGAGTTTTGCAGTCATGCATATGCCAAGCCCCAGAACCACTGGAAGAAAAAAGGGTGAGGCAAGAAATCAGTTCTGTAACTAAGATGCAAAAATTAAAACCAAACCAAGACTATTATGCCTGAAATACAACATCCTGACAAATGCAGACAAGAGTACAGAGAGAGACTTATCGTGCCACTACACCTTATGCCTTTTTTATCTGGTTCTTATTCACATTGATAGAAAACCATCATTCTTTAATCACTAAATATCTAGGTTTTGACCTCAGTACAGAAGAAGTTTACACTTACCTTACTCAAATTATCATTTTTCATCGAGTCTTCATAAATAAAAATTTTGTCCTGTAAAGATTTCTTCAGAATATCTATCTTATTTCTGTTTCTGGATCCTGTGTTTTTCATTTTATAATGCTGTTGTAAGAAGATGAGCACAAAGTACTTTATTTGTAAGAGGTATATGAGGATACTAACATTATTATTTGCTGTTATTGGCAGATCCATCAATTAATGAAACAGCTGGCAAGAACGACTTTCACTGAGAAAATATTTCTGAAATGAAGGTGCTGCCCATTCATTCAGAAGATTCCTTTCAGACATTCAGACAAAGCTGGAAATTTCTTTTTTAATTTCTTTCAAGTAGAATTATGTTGTCTAATGTTGTCTACTCAGCATGGTTAAAAATGAACAAATGTTGTCTACTCAGCATGGTTAAAAATGAACAAAGAATATTAACTTAGGAACCACATTGTTTTCAAGACACAGTATACGAATCACAAATGAACCATGATAGTATCAAGGGGCACCGTTCCATGTAATCAAATTATTCTTGACCTTTATATTTCTTTACAAGAATATCAAGTATAACGTACTCTTGGGAAAATGATAACATCTGTTCAGCTATAAGGCTTTGCAAAGTCATTTCCCTTCTTTAGTACTTTAGAAATTGTTCAGGTTTTGAATTAGGCTAATTCCTAGTACAATTAACCCAGCTTAGTTTACACGTTTAGAAAACATAACTGAACCAAAACAAAGGAAAATCCTCCTTTTTATAATGCTATCAAATACAACTCATACAGGAAACACTTTTTTTTTCTCCCTCTTATTTAAGAACTGAAAATAATTTATGATTCCACAGGTTTTGCATTTTACTGCTGGAATTAAACACCCCTCATATAGTTCTTTAAAGAAGGACTAGAACTGATGACGGACAGACTTGTTCAGAATGTCTCTCTGAGTGAGCACACCTCATCTTCTACATACTTAGATTTGAAAAAAACCCAACAAAAGCCAACCCTCTGTATATGCCCAGTTCTTTTCGAAAGAAGAAACAAAAAGCAAGCCCAAATTCTTGCCAAGAAAGACCAGCTAACTCAGGAACTCTACCGTCCTAAACAGACAAGACAATGTAGGACATTCCCCTACAAACACTCCATAAATCTTTTGGCCACCCATCTGCTTCTTTATAACTTCTGCTTGGGAAACCTGGAGGACACAGAAGCATCAGAAATACATGGGTGAATGTGAAAAAAAGGTATTTATCCAACTGCTGCCCAGACAATTATTGTTCAGGTCCACTGATCCACGCAGACAGAAGTGTGCACTGCTGTCACACCTATGAAGAAGTTACAGACCCACACCTGCAGTCGAGGCCAACAACCCACGGATACACCCATGAACCCCTCGCACATCCCCCCACCGATCCCATACTGTTCCCACCTGTTTATTGATCATTGCTAAATTCTGGTCAACTTTCAGCATCTCTACACCCCTCTGCTCCACCTCGAAAGCCTGAAGCAAAGTTCTTGCTCTTATCTTGGGCCAAGCCAAGCTGCTGTCCACCTGAGAGAAGCAGCAGTGCAACTCTTGCCTCATTCTAAGCAATTCCTCTTCAGATAGCGAGAGGGGTAAACTTAGAAGCTGCCTGTTAAAAAAACAAAAGCCATTTGCTGTTCAGTGATATAGGCAATATTGCATAAAATGTAAGAAAGAGACATGCACATAAATACATTACATGACAATGCCCATCCGCTTTTGTCTTATTCATACATCAGTTAATGATGCCACACACAGGACTGAGCTGTTAAGCATGTTGAAAATATCCTCGAGGATACTTCAATTCTGCATACAGAACTTCCTGGACTGAAAAACTTCATTTTCAAGGGGAAACAGTTTTTGAATGTTTAAAATATAAATCAGTATTTTTTAGCACATTTCCAATGCACAGAATCCTTCCACCTCTTCAGACAATACAAACCCTGAACTTAGGGCTGAAATCGAGATAAAAGCTTCCTGTGCTGCTTCCCAGCATTTAGCAGTCACAGCTACTGAGAGGTGAAAAAAATAAAATAAAAATGTATCTCTTTATTATAAACTCATATATGCCATTCCTCCCACCCCAAAGTCACAAGGGTTCCAGCTGTTCTTTGTAAAAAACCTTTTAGCAGTCTGAACAACACGGAATATATTTTAGCAGCAATTTGAATCACTCAAAGTTCCCGTTTTGTAGAAGGAAGGTTCTCAACATAGACGTCTGGGTAACTGATCCTCAGGTGAAGCTGAAGCTGACTTAAAAGTAAAGCATGCTAAAGCCTGAATTCATCTTCATGACTAACCTTAGACTGCATTAATCATCTTGTCTTGTGACTGAAATATTTCCTTAAATGTATTTAATTAAAAAAATGCATATTTTTTTTGCCTGGAAATTTTCTCTATTTCCCAAAAAATGTATTTGTATTTAATACATGAACAGTGTATTTTTAAAAAATTAATTTTCTTCTAAAAATATATTATACTGATTGTTCCATTAGGACTGCTGCTTTCATTCAGTATATCACAGACTTATACCACCTCTGCATTTCATTAAAATATTTCTGAGTTTAGAAAGTCTTATTGCTGGTTACTGATTCAGCAATATACAGCAAAATCTTAAATTAAAACAGTTTTAATATGCACAGTTTTTCTCTTCAAAAAAATCACTTACTTTAAGGCAATAATACTCCAAGCAAGCATTTATGGTATACTTTACTATTTCTCATGCTGTCTTAGACTTTTAGAAGAAAATCCATACTTTATATCCATATATACAGATACATAGACTGAGATATAAGAGAATACAGCAGAATCACAGTTTTGTCCTGTCCACATTTAGAAAGGACTTTAAGCATTAATGATCTTCATAAATATTTTGGAGTAGCTCATGGTCACTTTGATAAGCAACAAAAATGAAAACCTATCATTCAGAAAAATTCTTTAGGAAAACTAGATAGCAGATGACAACATAAATACGAGAGCTGGCATCAGTCATCGAAATATCAAAAATGACAGACAGTGGACTGAACATACAATGACTTATTTTAAGGGACTTTTGATGCTCCACTTTTTGTATGTATTATCCAGTATTCTACCAGAAAAAACAAACGGCTTACTGTTGCTGTAAATAAAGATAGCATTTAACAAATACAACAGGCGACACTTCAGGCTGAAACAAAATTCTCATGGACTCATGACAGACCTGCTGGGCCATACCATCCACTTCCCTGCTCGCGCAGGTCTGTGCTCATCAATGTAAATAAGAGACAATGTAAGACATTGAAATGGCTTAAAGAAAAGTGTTTAAAATGCTGAATAAAATACCAAGGCCTTGAAATTAGAATGAAAACAAGACAAACGGATTTTTTTTTTCTTTAACAAAGCAAACATGCAACGGACGAGGTTTCTTTTTGAATCTCATTCATACAGTTTGACACTGCAGCAGGCAAACTTGCAAAGGTGCTGTCTGGACAAAATGGCCAATGCACATCTGTCTTGCTGTAAAGAAGAGGTATGGAGGAGAAATCTTAACTAATGCTTTTCCCCTCCCCTTCTGTTCAGTTTCTCATGCCCTCTGCGTTTGCTCCAGGGGCAGACAGCCTAACACAGGGTTGCCCGTTCCAGCTGCTTCCCCTAAAGCTGCAATTTTGACAGCAGACTATTTTTTGTGTTCCCATGTCTCTAACAATGTCTGTTACTAAATGGACATTGCATGGGAAATGCAGTAGCGTAAATACTCAGGTAATGCAACTTCCAGCCATAAGTGTACTTGAAAGCTAAGAAGAAATGCTCACAAAGGGTGCAAAACTCCCATGGACCTTGCTGTCCAGTCTGAAAGGCACTGCACACATCGACTCTCTGCTGCAGCTGTGGTCCCTCCCTGAACAAGTCTCCCAACAGCAGCAAGGCCACCATTTGCCTTCCCACATCCCCAGGGCCACATCTTTGCAGGCAGTGATGGCCGTAATGTGCACCTGGGGCCTGCAAACCTCCCTGTAAAATCACCTGTGCCACGACACCTTGGTGTCAGCCACATCTGATGTGTGGAGCCCAAGAGCTGGAGAGGTACACTACTGCGCTGTGGGGCTGGGCTTGAGAACATGCTGGTCTTGATTGCAAAAAAGTTCGTTTTCTTCACAGTAGCTAGTATGAGACTGTTTTGGATTTGTGCTGAAAAGCGTTGATAATACAGGGGTGTTTTATTGCTCAGTAGTGCTTACACATCTTCAAGGCCGTTTCTGCTTCTCACCCCACCCCACCAGCGAGGAGGCTGGGGGTGCACAAGAAGGTGGGAGATGACACAGCTAGGAGAGCTGACTGCAGCTGACCAAAGGAATATCCCATACCTCATGACACCTTGCTCAGCATGCAAAGCCGGGGGAAGAAGAAAGAAGGGGGGGGACATTCAGAGTGATGACGTTTGTCTCCCCAAGCAACCGTTATGCGTGATGGAGCCCTGCTTTCCTGGAGATGGCTGAACGCCTGCCTGACGATGGGAATTAGTGAATGAATTCCTTGTTTGACTGTGCTTTGGCACGTGGCTTTTGCTTTACCTGTTAAACTGTCTTTATCTCAACCCACAGGGCTGCTCACCTTTACCCTTCTGATTCCACCCCCCATCCCACCAGGGCTGGAGTGAGCGAGCAGCTGTCTGGTGCTTAGTTGCCTGCTGGGGTTAAACCATGACAGCTGTGCATTTTTGAAATATGGGGAAATACTGTGGCAGAGCTTAAAATGAGCACCCAATGAGTAAGGCTTGACTTGTGGCTGGAAGGAATATATCAAAATTAGAACGTGGAGCTAATTAGGCCTCACAAACTAAGTGGCATTTCCAAAGTGCTGGACCTCTGAGAACAGGCTGAGAATAATAACGAAAGATGCACAAGTGAAACCTGACACAGAGTGAACTGAAGTATAAAAACACACCACCTTTTTGTTTTCAAAACTGCCTTTTTCCTGGGATTTCCACTGCAGTGCTAGGAGTACCGGCTCATCTGCCAGTGCCACAGGGGCTGAGCGTTTGTGACAAATCAATTCCCAAGTGCATGACAGAGAACTTATTGTTAGGAATTACACCAAACAGGTGTGAAAACTCCTAGTTCATCTCTATTTGCAAGAACAACTAAGAAAAGGGTACAGGGAGATACTTGCATGAATACTGATTGTTCCCAGCTCCTTAATTTTTTTTGTTCCAAAAGGCTCGTTTTCAGCTCTTGGCTCAGCTTCTGCCTGGTGAGCTGAAGCACCTCTTCAGCAGCCGTGCTCTTGTCACGCTCTTCTCTTTCAAGCTGTTCATGTTTAACAACCATCTCTTTTTTATGCTCCTCCACAGCTTCCAGCAGGAACATCTTTGGCACGCTGAGCTTTACCAGTTCTTGCACAAATACTCCATACTGAACACGTTTAAGCTCTTCAACAGTTTTCTCTGTTAGACTAAATAGAAGCTCTTTCAGCTCTTCACTGGCCTCACTGTCAAGTTTTTCAGTAAGTTCTTCGAATTCAATTGTGTGACCATTTAGAAGATTTTTCCAGTGGCTCAGGTAGTGAGTGAGCTCCTTCGTAGTATTGAAGGGGTCTCCAAGTGACAGATGCTCCTTCCGATGCTCTTTCTGCTGATTCATTTGCCAAAAGGAGGAACAAGGTTAAGAGAAAGCACATCTCAAATTTTAGCTCTTTAAAAATGTATTTCACAGCAATGCAAAATTCCACACTTTTGATTTTCAGTGTTCTCAAAACCGCTTTTCAGTTTTCAGAGACTTACCTAGCCCTCAACATGCTGGCTTTGCGTGCGTCTAGCAGGCCTGTGATAGTTCAGATTATTGTTACATAGAAGGGCTAACACCTGAACAAACGCCTGATCTTGGGGTTTGACATAAACCCAGCTGGCTGAACTGTACTGATCTGGCAGCATTCCAGAAATTAATCTGGATCAAATACCAAGGAAGAAAGAGAAGAGGGGGGAGGCGAAGAGAGAGGAAAAAAAAGGTTGGGGATTTTTTACTTTATTTTCCCCATCTTACAGCATGCAGCAATTTAATTGGAAAGCTAAACCAAAGCTACCTATATGGAGAATAAAAATAACAAGTGAAGTCTCCATCGTTCTACCTGCTGTCTCTCCTTGCACTGATATCTATCAAAGAGCAGAAGACACCGAAACACGTATCTCGCAAAAGGTAAAATTAATCTTACCTAACTTTGGTCATCTAAAGAAATATCACCTAATCCAAGACTTTTTTTTTCTACACCCTTTAGGCAAAGAAAGATAGGGACCTATAGATAAGAACTCCCTTCCATTTATCTCAGATCACCTGCAAGCCATCTTCCATCACAAGCTGATTTGGAGCTCTTGAATTTAGCCTTTCTTTTTACATATCTGAGGTTAGGCGACATGAGTCCTACCACAATCAGCCATAGATACAGCATCTTTTAAATAGTTTTGTTTTGTAGCTGAACTTTAACTATGCTGTAGAAGTCACTCGAGTCACACACAGCCAAGAAACCCACAGAAAACGACAACTGTCACAGATCTGTGCCATCTCCCTCACTGACTCCAGAACGGCAGTTGGCTTTTGCCTGTCTGCACATTACAGAGGCTTGTCATAACCCCTCTTGGACAGGGTGGACTAAGAAGAGGGGCTTCACACTTTTCCCCAGTTATACTACTTTCTTGCAAGTTTTTCTAAAAGGACAGCTATTAATTACTGCATTATTAATACAGCACATGGCGGTACACAGCTAACACCAACGGGCACTTATTTTCACCTGTGCTCCTGGCAGTGTTGACCCCTGTCCTAAGAACTACGCTTTATTTTTAATTTCATTCCATTTTTAATTCATGATAAGGCCTGTGAAAATAAATATACCGAAAATAATTACCTTTTGTAGCATTTCCCGCCTTCGCTTGGTAATGAGTTTCTGGCGAAGCTTTTGCTTTTCTTGTTTTAAATTCTGATTGAATTTCTGTTTAACAGAATTAATTTCAGCTTCAGCTTGGTCCAGCAGCACTCCCAAGTGACCTTCAGGTAGATGACCTCCTCTGCAATAACAATGTTTGAGTCCTGTTATCCCAAGCTCTTAAGAGCAAAAGGATAGTTGAGGCAATTAGTACCATAATGAGGCTCAACAAAGTAGACACACAGAATGATCTTTGCTTCTTTAGCAGTGATACCTAGGGGTATCAAACAAGAAGATAACAGAGAGATAATCTCAGAGATGAGTGTAGAATTGAGGCAGTTTGTGAAGGTAGGGTGGAGTATGAAGAAGGAATGGGAAAAAGGAGGAAGAAAGGGAAGGCAAATGCAAAACCAATAACATATCAGTTACTAATGTAAGCAATATTCAAATGAGGTATTTTTAACCTTACATATTATTCATAATATTTACATTTTTCACTTAATGTCCCTGGAATGCAATTCCAGATGCCTTTTATAACTCCTTCCCCTCATTAGAAACAATCTTCTCTTTAAAGCATGTAATCTAATCAAGTAAAAAAAAATAAAAAATTCCTTTAAAGATACAAAGCTATCATATTCATGAAAAGATTTATATTAATGTTTCCTATTACATTTACATAATCAGAAAAACTATAAAGATTTCAAATTAATAGTGAAACACAATAATCCAATAGAGCAAATTCTCAGCCTTAACCACTCAGATGGAAGACTATGGTCTACCTCTCATTGCTACAGTATTTAATTTCAAAGAGTAAGCAAGATCCCAACCATGCCTGCAACAGTTAGAAAAACCTCACTCCCAACAAACTCAAATTGCATTTCAAAAATTATCTGCTACTGTACTTACACAGAAATTTCCCAAATCTTTCTCAGACAACAGAAGAATAAAAGAATATCTTGATTCAGACAGGCTGTTGGACATTTGTGAGTTATAATTTCTAATATTAAACACAGTGGACTTCCAAAGTGTGGGGCTGAAAAGGTCAACACGGAACTTTGAGTAGAAAGCACCAATTCCTGACCTGAACCTGGATGTTGTCCAAACACTTTCTGGTTTATTTTTCAAAACCTGCCTTTTCAGAAGACATGAACTTTACACAGAGAGCCTGGGTTCAGATGAATCCAGGGCTTCGAAGTTCCAACATGATACCTGGCCCAACTCATAACCTAGAGTAGCAGCTAAATGTTGCAAGCCCTTTTCCAGAAAGGACAGAGTCTCATTCTGGTTCATTAGGATTTGTTGATCCTTTGACAGCTTAATTCCAAATAAAATCCTCAAAATAAAAGCTAAATAAAATAAAAGATAAGATTACTGTATTAGCTTGCTTGAAGCCACAAGTATCTGAGCAAGCCACAAAACATCATTCCCTACATAATGAATGCGCTGGGTAGAAACTCTGATCTGGTTTATCACACAGTTATGTCAACCAGAGAGCGCCTCTTTTTGCAGAGCATTTCCAATGTCCATCTACTGTATTTCTGTAATCTTCTGCAAAGAGGATTAAAATACCTCCCAGTACCTCGAGAGCAATCCACCAAACATCATTCTTGGATCTTCTGGCCAAGTCATTTTTGTCTCGAAAGCAATTGAAACGTTGAATTTCAGTGTTATGTCAAAAATAAAAAACAAACAAAAAAAACAACAGCATGAAATTTCCTACCCATATTTGGTAACTCTAAGTCTTGCCCCCCATTTAATCAAACCGAAGGCAAAAGATCAGTGAGTAAAATGTGGATTTATTACAGTGAGGAAGTGAAGCAAGATAATAACTGAGATACTATAACACCTTCATCCTGTCTTATACTGAGGAAATAAACCCGGGTTTTCTGCATCCATTTAAAATCCCTGTCCAGAGCAGTGAAAAGGGACTGTAATAGAGAAAGATAGATGTACTGGAACTACCCAGCAAATGAACGGTACAGAAAAAGGCAGGCAACATAGAATGACTGGAAGATGATATATACCCACCTATTCTTAGGATGGGGGGAAAAAAAAAGTCTACATTTTTTCGGTTTCAGGTTTTTAATTTATTTAGAGATCCAGTATGTCCACAGCTCAAACTGAAGGGTGATGCAGTATCATAAAACCTAACTTTTTTTTTTTTTATTTAATCTTCTTGCTTAGAAATCCCAGATAAAAACAACAGACAAAATGCCTGCCACCACAGAAGTCTACAGGAGTTTGTGTGGTAACTTCCTTACATTAATCAGTATTACAGTATTTCCTAGAAGGCTCAATCCTGGCAAGAGACCTTCAGTTCTGGTTTCATATAAACACAGTATAAAAACAATTACAGTATTAGAATTAAAAGATGTCTTGTTCCCAAAGGACTCTGAACTGAAACACAAAATAAGAGAAGAGAAAGATAATGAGACAGTATAGACTGCATGATAAACTGCTTGGTCTCAGCATACCAGACATCTAATCACTAAAGAAATGTGCAGGCACTTGTTTAATGTCTTTGAACAAGGAGAATTTTAATGAAGGAGAATACTGCAGTACCGACAAGGATGTTTACAGGGAGGTCCTCCACAATGCACTGAGTGCTACGGAAGGAGCAGAGACAAAGTCTGTGGCCAACAGCAGCAGTACCATAGGTCAATCAGAGGCACACCATGACTTCTCTGCACTGAATGAAAGCCAGTAAAATCAGGAGCAAATATTAGGTGCAGGCACTAAAAGTAAAAAGTAGTGTTTTGTATTCAATGCTATGGAGAACTATCTAAGTGATGCTGGACCCCAGAAAAGGAATATTGTTTGATGAAAGCTAGAGAAGGTATGGCAGTGTCACTAAAACCATGAGAGACGGATATAAAGCAGAAAAGTTGTACCAGCCTGGATGTACACAGAGGCTGATCACAACACTATACAGACACTATACGGAGAGAACCTGCAAGACTGCGCCCACATTACTCTGCTTCAGCTACTTCAGGATTCCACCTGCTGCACTAAAAAAAACTGAACTGGCATCTTGCTGGTGCCGAAATCAAAATTTAGGTAAATAACTCAGAGCAATAAATGCTGCCGGCATTCACTTTCCAATACCAACTCACTGAAAGGTCCAGCAGGACACTGTTCAGAAAACTCCTTTACTTATGACAAGGTTCATATAAATTGAGATTATTCAGAGGAGTAAGTGACCAATACGAGACGCTTTGCTTTGAACTTTTATGTCAAAGATAATCAATTGCCTACTTTAAAAACACACTACACAAGAAATGCCTGAGGTCTTACAAAAATGAAAATTTTGGGAGAAATTTATAGAGGACCTTGAGTTGTTTGTACCTAGTGAGTCAGCAGAACTGGACTCTGTTTTCAAGAGACCAAAGAAGGAAGAAAACTTCTGGTGAATGAGCAGACACTGGCAAAGGAACAATGCAACATGTTACAGTTGCTGTAGTTCAAAAATGCCAAGAACTTCTTGCCTCTGAGTATAGCTGGAACAACCCAGGACAAATACTGCCTCAAGTATCACCCTCCTGCCCATTTACTCTTTAACGGAAAACACAAAAAGCCTAGCTAGATGTCCCCGAAATCTGTCATTACTGATAATATTTTAAAACTTGCTTTCCTGCCTTTTGGCATTGCAGTCCATACGGTTGATTTCCCAAGGCACTGAGTATCTACAGCTAGTCCTGACAAATGGGATGTTTTATTTAAATGCTACCTTTAGAAAGCACAGCTTGAAAACTGGCTGGTCTATTTGATTTAAAATGTTCACTATCCTCCCTACATTAATTGGCTTAGTTTTATTTGGCTTTTTATAACATTTATTTCTGGCCACAGAGAATCTTCTTCATGTTAATTCGAAATTGACTTGCTATCTGATAAATTTTAAACATCCTGGTAAGTTCCATTTTAAAAGACCTCTCCCCTCTTCATTCATCTGCTGGTTTATGTATCCCTGAATCTGTTTATCTGTGGTATATCTAATCTACATATTTTCTCAGTTTCTCTTCTCCATACAAACAGTTCTGTATTTTAAAATCCCATTTATAACAGTAAGTTTAGAGCATGCTATTAAGAAGAGAGACAATAGATTAAGACAGACCTGTATCTCTATTTAGACAAGCAGATTCAATGCTAAAGTGAAAAATAAGAGGATATTATGGATGTAAATTTAAAGTACCAGTCATTCAGACCAGAATTCTCTTGCTACTCAAATTTTAATGCTCCAATTTGTAAATATTCTCCAAGTCACTTTCTAATTAGAAACTGAAATACAAGCCTAGATACTAGCATAGATTATAACTTCTTCATGGTTTATACTAGGATATTTCAGTTTGCCTGTAGAAAAAAAAAGACTAGCAAATAATCTGAAATACTTCTTTCCGGAGTTTTACGATCTCAACAGCTAAAGAATGAATAAGAACATAACAATTTGGCCAACATTTCCCTGAAAGGAATTCCTTCTGCACCAGGTGTGGGAAGTTACAGGAAAATAACTAGTTCTAGTCCCAGAGAGTCAGTTGGGATTCCCTCTCTACAACTGCTATCTTCAACTATGGACACGTTTCCTTTGTCCACAGAGTACTATGAACACTGCATGCTCTGAGAAGTTTAGTAGGGGAGTGCTAGAAAAATAAGTTTTCATCTTAGTAATGATGTTTTGGGAAGTTTTTGGTTTTGGGGGGAGTATTTTTTTTTTTGGTACATTTTTGGGGGTGAGATCCACGAGGTCTCGGATTACTAAAATACTACACATTTCCTCTCTGTTTTGTAGTTGATCTGGTTTGTGACCGATAGCTGCCATAACAGGCATTAAACAATGAGTGGAACCTATTTTTCCATCTTGGGAAGCCCTGGTTTTTCATTGCGGTGATTTAAGCCATGTATGCAGTGGTTGTACAGGCAGGAGCTTCTCACAAAAACTTTTCATATAACCACATCATGTGTGAAAACGTCTCAGAACATATCTCATAAATGAGTTCCGAAGAGAGGCATGACCTGATGGAAGGGAACTCTCTGTGAAAGATGTGTCTGAATTATACATCCTATGCTAAGACATTTATTTTCGTCTTTGAGCCACACAGATTCAGATGTTAACAAAACAGGCAAAGCAGTGCAACCATACTGGAAGAACATCTCTCTGACCAATGAATCTTGAGGCTAAATGTAGGGTATGATTCCAATGAGGCAGCACACAGGACAATCAAAAAGAAGAGTAAGGAAGGGTTACAAAAAAAATAGGTAAATGACTTAATCACTTCAACAGATGCAATCTTCAGTAGCTTTTAACAGACTTCCTGCTTCCTAATGTTAAATTACTTTTAAATTAAGTCAACATTATGAAAGCAAAACCCCAATGTAAAGACTGATATTTATACTTGTTCTCCTACTGCATGTTGCACACTTTGTCAGTGACAGACACCAATATAGACATCTAAAATATACAAATAAAGCTGCATGCACAGGATCAACAGCAGCAGTGCTAGGTTGTTTTCCTTCCCACTAACACATTTTACTGCGCTGGCATGACGCTCAGTAATCTCTCTGTCTGCCAAACTAAGATATGCCACAGTTCTCTGGATAGCAGCAAGAAGTCTTTCTCAGTGCTCCACATATCCATGTAATTTTAAATAACTATGTCTCTGGTAAGTCACCATTTCTATCTCTCCACCTCGACTATGGGTATCCTCACAGAGAGCACTTGAATCAGCCTGGATCTGGTATGATATCCCAAATAAGTTAAATAAGTGTATTACAACAGCCCATTTCCAGCTCCACTTTTTACCTCACCTGACCCTTGCTTTTTATTATTTCTGCAACAGGTCTACCTTGTGCTAGTCAAGATCCTCCCAGGTTACATTATTCATAAGCTTAGTCAACACTCTTTAGAAAATATTGATACTTTCCAGCTTGAGACTGTACATCTAGTCAGTGGCATACTCCAACATATTCAATCACAACTGAATCAAGATTGTTCTTTTCTGTTAAATCCAGCTAGTTGCGTGTAAAGAACCCAGAAAAATGGTCTTTACTGTTACTTGTTGCAGTGGACACTGGTATGGCTTTTTGCATGATTGAGGACTATTTACATGAATAACGATGTATAAAGACATTGAGACTCTTACATGAGTCTGGTTCTCACTGAAGTCAGAATTACAAACAGGTGTCATACGTGTTCCCAGCAATTCATCTCTGTACTGTACAAAGTGGACACAGACGATAAAGCCTTACCTTAGAGTCTGCTTGGTTACTAATTAACAAATTCATCATTTACAAAATATTTTCTTAGAATTAACTTAAAACATAACATTTTTATGCACCTTTCCTGCTAGGTAACACAGACAAAAAGACTTTTGAAGATTATTCTATTGTCTTTGGGATAACTTAGTCACATGACTACCAAGAAGATATTTACCTTTCCATCTTATTAATGAGAGTTGATATCTGGGTTGCTGCTGCATTTATAAGAGCAGCGGCTTGAGAATCCCTTAACTGTATCTTACTTATAAGATACTCTCTGTAAGCAAATCTTCTATTCAGATGGTATTTCTTGCTAGCTTGCAAAAAATCCATTAGCTCTTCAATGTCTCCCTACAGGAAAGAATGTGAACAAATATATTTATCTAGATGCAATGTTAGTTCCAGTTAACACCTGTGGGTATCAGACCAGCTTTGTTCATTAACAGGGCAAAGTTAAACAGCTCTTACAAGTGAAAAACAGTAAGTTTATATCAACTCTAATGATCACGTCAAATTATTCCTGTTACTTCAACAAAACAAAATAAATAACATGCTGAGCTTTTAGCCTGAATACCTCAAAATTGTGTGTACTCACTTGAATATTTAGTGCACCTCCTGAGAGCCCTGGTTTAACAGGTCATTTAAACAGGTACCCATAATTAAATACACATACTACCCTACCAGTTTTAGTAGAACTGCTCCTGCTTCAAGCTATCCACAGGATGAAAGGTCTTCTGGAACTGTGATCTGAAGATCATATGTGTTCAGTAACAGCAGAAAGTGGCATGAAGTCCTTTCTTTTCTCCCCCCGCCCCCCCCCACCTTTACTCTGTATTGTATGATTAAATAAAGGGTAATATTTTCATAGGTGTCTAAGCTGACTTCAAAGCCAAAGATAAGTCTTCCATGTGTGTCCAGCACAGTGTGGGGAAAGCCAGGCCCGCTGTACACAGGATGGCTCAGAAGCTCCTGCTTCCAACAGTGGAGAATGGCAAGCGTTTACGTACCTACAAGTGGGTCTGCCAGAGACCAGAGGTTGGTACAGGATGGTCTACAGCAGACATTCTGCTAGCATCAGACACCCAAGACAAGGTCTGATACTTAAGTGACCCATGTCTGAGCAGCCAAAATATCATCAAAACTTCTTTCACTTGCTTTACCTTTTGTTGGCTGCTCAGCTGTCTTGTGCACAAGCGCTTGCTGCATCTATATCTGACAGTGTAGTGAGATCTGATAGTCCATCTAGTTTTAGGAGTGGGCCTTACATGTTTTGACACCTGCTTTCCAGATGTTGCTTTTTAACCACCAAGCTCTCAATCTCTAGGACCACAGCAATCATATTCTTCAAAAACCAGCCAGAACAATTCCCAGAAGTTTTGGAATCTAGAACACTAACTTTCAACAGAAACAGAGCAAAAAAACCCACCAACCTACCCTTGAGGAAACAACTTAAGCTGTTCAGTTGCAAGAGGCTTAAAATGTCACTGAAATCAAAACTAAGATCCTCAACATACTCTTCATCAGCATCCCTGACTGCGTAAACTAGAGATACTCATCCCTCAAAGTACAAAACCATAGCACTTCAGACATACCACTATTTCAATAATCCACATATTTGGATTGGGGGGCTCAGTACATCTTCTGAAGTATAGAAAAATACTTGATGACTAGGTGGTTTTGAAAAAGCCTATAGAGACAGATCTCCAAAGGTACTTCTCATTCATTAGACAGCGTCTGACCTGTTTTAGAAAATGCCATTCATAAAATAGGCTTAGGTACCTAACTGTTCTCTTAGTCACCTAGGTCCCTTTATTCGGGCTGAAATTACTTTTGAAAATGGCACTCTGGCATTTCTGTACCATGCCGAGGGCCCCATTAACACCAGTGAGGGTAAACCTGGAAGCAGAAGGTTGCTGCACGAGCAGAAATTGGCTCTCAGACCATCCTATGGAGGAGGGCTTAGGGGAAGAGCTGCACCAACAGAGCTTTCAGGAGCCAAGCAGAGCCCCAAGATGTGTAGACATATCAAAATATTCACTGCAAAACTAGGGATTTATATTACGTGATTTCCCACGGCATGGTGTAGACGTGTTACCAAACTTCTTTCTTTTGCATGATACAAGTGAGCTACAAGTTTTATTTTCCCTGAGCGCTAAAGACACGCTTTAAGCACCTAGGTGCTTTGGAAATACTACCCATGAAAACATAATTAAGCACTAAGCAGATAATGTTGTGGCAAATACATCTAGCCCACTATTGTAGAAAAAGGTTGTGCGTATGCACCAATATACAGTTGTGTAGATGTCCAGATGTGGGTAATGATGGCATTACACTTTTAAAAATTATTCCTATGAAAATTAGTTATAAGTGTGATAACATAGGGACAATTTCTTTTAGAGTTTTAAGTGCAGATATTTCCTGAAACATTTCTCAAAAGTTATTGTGGGTTTGTATTCTGTCATTAGGTTAGGAACAGAGTTATACTATTACCTGTATTTTAGAGTAATCTTCTACTAATGTTTTAGCTGCTTCCAACCTCAGTTCTCCCTTGAAAGTAGCATTTTTTATCTGGGTAAAGAAGATATTATGGAGCTCCTTTCTCTGGGTAACAGCTAGTTGTCGGTAAGCTTTCGCAAAATATTCCTCCTGCTTTACAAGAAGGAATCTCTTCAAGCGGTCCTGCTCCAGTCTGTGAAGTCTATCCAGAAGACTTCTGCATTCTACAGCAGGCTGCAGAGAACAGAGAGATAAAGAAATCTGAAGTGATTTTCAGTATTCAACATATTTTAAATTATCAGTGCTACTAGCTCATATATATTTTACACATACTCTGACTACTGTCATTTCAGGTTTGAATGGAGGCTAATACTAAATCAATGTACACTTGCCATTGTTTTCATCTGGTTAGAATGACAGGGGTTCTATAGCCATCAATCTTTAATCCAGTTAACACTTCCAAAGCACAATGAAGTAGTTTTAGACTTCAGAAACATTATTTCAGATAAATTATACAAAACTGCATGAAATGCAATGCAAAGACTATATATGAAATTAATTTCTTACGTTTCATCAATCCTGAAATCCTATTAAAACTGAATAGGCTCATACAAGTCAGAACAATGAAATAACAACAAGCATGCATTTTAAAAACAATATAAATTAGGAAAAAAATCTACTACAAATCTTTGAAAGGTTTTATTATTGCTGACCTACTTTACCTACTGGTTTCTACAAATTAATCCAAGAGCATCTTTTTACAGTTACAACAATGGAGTAGAGTTAAATGGCAAATAAATTAAAAGCTTCTTTGCAAGAAATATTTTCTCATAGTTCTCCAGTAAGACTTACATATTCATAGTTTTAATCTCAGATGCATAAACTCATTGTAGAATCAAAACATACATGTCCCACAGAGCAAAGAATGCTTCTTATGTCAGCAGAGCTACCTACCAGTAGTTATGTTGGTCTTGTTCTAAATTTCGTATTATTGATCTGGGGAGATCCATCCTCTGCACTGAGCCCCCCCTCACACCTTACATCTCACTCTCAAGAGACACACTCCAGACAGAAAATAATTAATCAAAAAGGCAGGAAATATACATTCTGTATCTTGGCTGACAAGGGGAGGAAGTTATTGCTCCAGCTGTTTGTCACTGCTGTCTCTTGGACGTCTGCACACCCACTGCCAGGAGTGCAAACATGGGCCATCCCTAGTGCTCCAGCACATCCTTTGGGACCAAGTCCCACGGCAAGTACAAAACCAGGTCCTTCACCAACAGGAAAGTTAACATCAAGACATTAGTACATGATATATGCATCAGGACAAGTATTGGATTGGCTTTAATTCTTTGATTTCTACCATTCAGGACTTCCAATACAAACCAGACTGAATCAATACCAACGTATCTTGTGCAAAGAAAAGCCACTTTGCTGAGAGCATATTTAGTGTGAGTTCACACACTGAGTTTCCATTATGCTCCTCTCCGCAAAGGTAAGATTTATCTCAGCAAGGGCTATCTAAGTGTTAGACGTGTATACTCCTTCTATAACCAACAGAAGGAAAAAGACTTCTGCAGAGTACAATTCACCTCATCTTTAAAAAGATGCCCACAAGTATCCCTTCCTTGCCATCTCCTTCGACTTTCTAGAACCTCTAGTTCAGGATGTTCATATCCTACAGATATTTAAAAGCTGCCTAGAGTCACAATTTAAAAACATCAAAGAAATTCACCTGGCTTACTAGCCTTGTGCCATCAAGTTCCACAAACAACAGCCTGATAAACCAAAGTTCTTCCCGAGAGCCTCAACATATTGTAGTACCTTTGATTGGTCATGCTCAGCAAAAACCTTTTGTCAAAAGTGCAATTGTGAAGTGTCATAGAAGTCCTTAACAATTACAGGTATATGATATGCAAACAAAAACCTGATTTACACAGAATCACAGAATGGTAGGGGCTGGAAGGGACCTCTGTGGGTCATCTAGTCCAACCCTCTTGCCAAAGCAGGGTCACCTACAGGAGGCTGCACAGGACCTTGTCCAGGCAGGTCTTGAATATCTCCAGAGAAGGAGACTCCACAACCTCCCTGGGCAGCCTGTTCCAGTGCTCCGTCACCCTCAGAGGGAAGAAGTTCTTCCTCATGTTCAGACGGAACTTCCTGTGCTTCAGTTTGTGCCCATTGCCCCTTGTCCTGTCGTTGGGAACCACTGAAAAGAGTTTGGCCCCATCCTCCTGACACCCACCCTTCAGATATTTGTAAGTGTATATTAGGTCCCCTCTCAGCCTCCTCTTCTTCAGGCTGAACAAGCCCAGCTCCCTCAGCCTCTCCTCGTAGGAGAGATGTTCCAGTCCCCTCACCATCCTTGTAGCCCTCCGCTGGACTCTCTCCAGTAGCTCTTCATCTTTCTTGAACTGGGGAGCCCAGAACTGGACACAGGACT